TACTTTTTAGCGCGGACCCGACGTCCATATAATTGTAAGTCAATGGTGATGACGATTACTTTTACGGGACATATTAGAGAACCGCAATATAATTAAATTAAGTAGACTCGTTCACAAAGAAATGACGAATTAGCGTTTTCCGTTCCCTTTTCCGTCACCATACTCAAAAATGTGAAATCGGCCTTAAAAAAGCTTTATAACCAGGCAAAAGCGTTACTTCTGCTCGGACCGCCCGCGCCCGCGCTGTCAAAGTCTTTTTCGGTCTTATTACATTGAGCATAAAAATTTTTTTGATCAGCATCATGCGATTGCGTGAGAAAAGTTAGTGACTCCCATTGACTTACAAATAAATGGACGACGGGTCTAATACAAAAACCACGAAAAAAATGTCCCAAGTCAACCTATTCGAAATTTAAATTGTTATGTCATCGCAGTATCGCGCTGTCCGTAGAACAAATGAAGACTAAAGCGGAGTGTCGCGCTCTGTATACGATTTTAGCGCCTTACAAGTGCGGACACTTTTTAGCGCGGACCCGACGTCCATATAATTTTATTGTAAGTCAATGGTGACTCCTCAAATCAAGTCCTCAAATTCTTTCAAATATCGCCTCAAACGGACACAATCATGAACTCATGACATTTCATGATTACGCTGTCATTTATTGATCTATCGCTTTCCTTGCATGCATCACTTCAATATCAAAAACAAAAAGGACATGTTGCGCTTCAACTTGAGCTTTGACAACAATTTGCTTACGCCAAATATAGAGCAAAAAAGTTTTATTTATTTTGGTGTGCCAATTGATAAAATACACTATTTATTAAGATTTTTTTCACTATATACTGTGAGAGCTTTGTAAAAAAATAGCTATTAAGGTCTCCAACAGACGAAAGCACTAGATCCTCGTCCAATTGTACGTGCACTGGATCAGGAGGTCTCTACTCTCGTCCTCCGTGCGACATCTGTCCGAAACACAGAAATCTATTAAGATTTCTGTGGTCCGAAACAAATTAGATACTGTCAAATAAGTGATAGGTACTCGACTAAAAGAAAAGATAATGTCCAGCTATATATAAAGCTTCATTCGCATCATGCGGCTGTCAATTTGGTCGAGTAGGTATTACTATTTTATAACTAATTGTTTCGGACGGAGAACGAGAGGTCCGACATCAGGGGATCTAATCCCTAGACCAAATTTTTTCTGTCGCTGTGTGTAGCATTCTGCAATTCCTACTGCATTAATTGTGTAAATGCAGCGACATATTTCAGGAACAGCATTTGTTATAAAGCGCGGCTTTTTTCTGAGCGATATAATCGATCTGGATCCTTTCGTCTGTGACTTTACAGTTCACAATTTTTCCAAGTTTTACATACTTCTTCCAATGTTGCAGGCGGAACTTATCTACCGTCCGACCGCTCGCACGGTTACCCGACTCGTCACGTACCCGGAGGCACCACACCACATCGTGAGAGTACGCGTGCGTCCATCCGTAATCGTACGCGAGTTGGATCGCATTGCGTACAGAACACGTCCTACGCTCACTTCATCAGCCGTCGAAGACTTTTATCGTTCTGAAGCCACTAAGGTAAGATAATAACTTCCTGCATAAAGTTACAACTGCGAAGTGTGCTAAGGGAAGTATTAACAAATCCTTCTCAAGTAGGTACGTGATCGATATTAAGATCCTCGACAGTCCATGAATAAATGGTAACGGCTCAAGAAAGTTATTAAGTCCTAATCAATCGAATGTAAGGTCTTGGTCACTTCAAAATGCCGATGATAACAGCCTTTTATTATAGGAGATCTGGAGAAGCATTATAAAATCTGCTGACAGCTCCTGAGCTGTTCATATACGAGCTTGTCGCGAATGAAATAATTGATAAGAAAATGCATGAACACTAACGTGGACTAGGATTAAGTGAGATAAAGTAAGAAACAAAGATACCGGTAGAAACAAGTTATGTAATCCTATCACAGGGGCGAAGGTCGTGATGATAAATACATATCTATAATTAAAAATTTGTTAGCTTTTATGACAAATGCCGCTTCTTATACAGAACCTCTATTTCTACAGCCATCTTGTATTTTACCTCTTTTTGCCAAATAGGTACATAGATTTAGACCCAAAGCAGCGACCCCAAAGTCAATCCTCCCGGCGTGGAATTGCCCACACTGTCCCAAGGGCTCGTACTACGTCGATATGGTTCAATGGATGCTCGTGAGCAAGAGTCCACATTAAGTTCATACATTGAACACAATACCTCCATCTATATTGTAACTAAGGACGTATATTTCCATCGCGACGGTTACTTTTCATTATACTTAACTACAACATTCAAAACTTTAATAGTCAAAGGTATTTACCGGCAACTGCATAGTATTTTAGTTAACATTGATCCTAATTTGTCATTGCAATTGTTTGTGTTGTCTCCGTAACAGCAATAAGTCGTATTTTCATACCTGTATACGTGCTGTGTTAGGATATCATATCTTAATATATTTCTGGCAATTTCCAGGCGTTTGAAGATGAAACTCGTCGTATACGCGCCGACACCGCCGCTCTAATCCAGCGAGCACGTTCTGTGGTGCCTCGCGCCAAATCTGTGCTGCCTCTCGATACCATATATTCGTAAGTTCGCTTCTATCTTTGAAATATATATAACGGGATGTCTTTTTCATCCCTATCTCATGAATTGGATCTCACACCCATATCAGCGTGTAGCTATGCCTCATCTTGCGAAGGAAAAGAAAATTATTCTCGCACCTGCTATTTATTCTTGAGTCGGCTGACAATGTATTCAAGCCCGTGAATTTGAAACAATTTATAAGTAACATAATCTGTTGAAACAACAAGATTCTATTTTCGCCAAAATAAACACATGCTTAGTAATCTATTATTCTCCTACATGTCTTTTGTGTACGCGTCCAAATTGCTCCGAATCGTCATGTCGTCGAGATCGAATTAAAACACCTTCGTCGAGCAGCATTGAAATTGCTGCAGCAGATATATCCGACACTACGTACTACCTGCTAGGTCAAGTTTTTCTAAGGTTGATGTAACCAAACAAAAATAGCTCATTGATGAGATGAGGCTATCACCATTTGGCACTGACATTGACTGCCTACAATCAGTCGCGCATCATTTGGCAATGATGTACTTACACCATGTAATTTTTAAGAGACAGATTTTTTACCACGTAGCTCAAGACTGCCAAAGTCCTAATTAACAAAATGATGTGCGGCCCCTAAACGATTGGTGGAAACATTTTCAGCGTAGGCGTAGATTTCACAGCCAAATTTTGTACTCGAGCATTTTCACGTCCCGTATGCTATCGTACTGGCGCGGATTTAATTATAGACCAGTTAAATGCCAGCTGATGTTTGCTGGCTAGTACTCCAGTAAAATGTTTTATGGTTTATTTTCAAATGGGATATGCTTAATGTGTTTATTACGGGCGAAAACGGTTGTATCATCCGGTACACGATCATAAAGAGTGGCTTTCCTGCGTCTTCTTATGTTACACTGGTAACACTAGAAATAATAACAGAAGTTTTGAGAACTGAGAATATTTGCGACGCTGCCAAGATGGTTTTGCGCGTAACGACGAAGAAACTTCGGGGAAGTTTTTCTTTTCTGATTGATAATTTCTTCCACAGTTATAGTTATGGTGAACCAGTGCCATACCGCTTCAGCAATGACGCATATGTGGCCAAGTTGTTGGTACCACTGCGCACCGTCGCTGATACCATCAAGAGCATGTCTTACTACAGCGAACCTGCTAAGAAGTTCACCGGTAATATTACACCTCATTTGACACAACAGCACTGACTATACAGTTACATACACCTATATTATAGGGTCTTCTGATTGGACAAACCCTATTGAATGTCTTATACATATTTTCTAACAACGTTTTGTGCTCCTTGTCCGTTTGCCGACCAACTAACAGTTAACAGTGCTCCCGTGTAACCGAGGTGTTGTCACAGGACGTGGCCACCTCGCTTGCGTGCACTACACCGGTAACAAAGCCTTCTCCAATCGTCGGCCTCTCTACAAGGAGCTCAGCATCAGGGACGACGTCAACCTGCTCTCGTTTTACGCGAAGAACCGGCTCGCGGCCGCTGGACTGGCCGTCGAGAAGGTCACAGGTATCTCAAACAGTCGCATTGCTAGTTCGCTGCTCTTCGCTTAATTTCTTTAAATGGAACACTTAAATGAAGCTATATTTTTCAGCTCTGATGGCGTCAGAGTGTTAAATTGGGAGTATATAAATTCCGTGTCTAACCCTGTGTGTGGTGTCTCTTGCAGCGGGCGACGCGCAGGAACAGCCGACGGCGGCGCAGTGCGCGTAGCCGCCCGGCCCCGCAACGCGACGCGGCGCGGGCGTCGCGATGATCGGACCAAGTCCGGCTCCGGCGCCCGCGCCGCGTTCGCCCTTCGCTCTATGATCTCGGTATAACGCTCGAACTAACCCAGATCATCTATTTTTTTATTCATTTTTAAAAGTATTGTTACATTATGCATTACGACCCAACGAACGACTTTTATTAATATCTTTAGTATTCTAGTCATTGATGTGATAGCGCGAATGCGCAGGAGCATTATCTGTGACCGAGACGTCTCGTTTTCACTTAACCAGAACTGATTTTACTTAACAAAATAAAGAATTTTTACTGAACATTAGTTGTTTTAATGTGCATGTTAGTTGACCCCTTCACACCTATCATGCTTCGAAGATCCAGGCTTCAATTAATGCTTCGCTTTCTTAACTAAAATGTATTAACATACTTTTATTAATGCTTCTAAAATACAATTGATAACAATAGATACGAAAACAGTAACTAAAGTACTTAATAAGCAGGTGGTACAGTTTGTAAGTAGGTGTCGAATAGGTACACATCAGCTCGCAACGCCAGGCTCCAAGGTGTGTGCTGTATATCGATAAAATTCATTCACATGTAATGGAGAACATGCATTCCATTACCAAGCATGATGCCAGCAGCACAAAGATCATGCCGCTACAGCGACCGATCACGTAGGCTTTGCCGTTGGCTTCAGTGCTGTGGTCTAACAGCTTATCGAAGCGGTGTGCTGCAAAGCTTGTATTATCCATATCGCGCCATTGGAGAGTTATTTGGAAATGAGCAGCTGATTAATGACGAAAATTGTACGTATACCTAAGGACATGTGTATTTAGCACTCGGAACAACGCTGACCTTAATCGTCAGAAATTCGAATTCGTAATCGTAACCGTTCACCCACTGACCTCACTCTCATTTAATCCTTCAAATGGGATAACTAGCATTCAAATCATAGAACCATTCATTGTTAACAAACAAAGATTCAGCTGATCATTTCCCCAATGGTGTGTATTGGGGACTATCGTAACATATGGGCCGGTGGTGCAGTGGCATTGCTGCCATGGAGGCCTAGCCGCAAGTTCCAGCCGCCACAATTGATGGAAGACCCCAGCGAAGAACTTAAGGCGGCCAAAGCAGAGAGGGCGGCAAGATTCAATGCGACCACTACTGCGCCTGTCCTGACTCCATCTGTGGACTTGGCTGAGATCAAGAGGAAGAGGCAAGAGGAAATGCGCGCTGTCGAAGAAAAGTAAGTAGACACTGATAAAATTTAAAATAAAGCATTTGAGGTTCCCCTTTATTCATGTTCATCTTGTCGAAATAACAAAAGACACACTGAAGAACAGAGAAACTGTATTATTTTTCAGAGCACTCAAAGAAGAGGCTAAGAAAGAAGCAGAACGCAGGGCTCAAGCCGATCGTGAGGCTGCGGAAAAGAAGAGGGCGGAAGAGGAAGCTCGCAAAGCTGAAGAAGCAAAACGTAAGGCTGAGGAAGAGGCAAAAAGAGCTGAAGAAGCCCGGTTGGCTGAAGAAGCCCGTTTGGCTGAAGAAGCTCGCTTAGCCGAAGAAGAGAAGAAGGCTAAAGAGGCTCAGTTAGCAGAAGAAGCCAGACTGGCTGAGGAAAAACGCATAGCTGAAGAAGAAGCCAAAAAAGCAGAAGAAGCTAGGCTCGCGGAAGAAGCTAGGCTGGCAGAAGAAGCTCGATTGGCTGAGGAGGCTAGACTAGCGGAAGAGGAGAGGCAGGCTGAACAGAGGAGACAAGAAGAGCTCGCACGGTTGGAAGAACTTGAAAAGCAGGCACAGGAAGAACGTGAAGCTGAACTTGCACGACAGGTTAGTTAAATTTTGTATACTGTGCATATTTGTAAGTTCTAAGTAATCTCAATCTTAAATTTTGTTCCGTTCATATTTCAGGCCGCGGAATTGGCTGAAATTGCAAGACAAGAATCAGAATTGGCCGCTGCCCGTCTCGAAGAGTTATCCAGGAGCGAATCCGCCGCTGAAGTTGAATCTAAGTAACTTCCATTACCTACCATCGATATTAACAAATTAAGTTTGTCAGAGACTACAAAACTGGTGCCGCAGATGGGTTGAAAAAATATTTTCGAGTTCGACTAAACTGTGGATTTCCTTGTTTATATTGAGTGAGCAATATTTTATAACTTCAAGTGATTAAATCTTTGTTTCTATTTCAGCGAGGCACCTGCAGAGGAACCCCAACCCATTGTAGAAGAGCCTGAGACACCAGAAGCGCCATCAGACGACGTACCCGCGGGAGATGCCAGCGAAGATGAAAAAGCAGAACCAGACGTCACAGACGAAGAATAAGCAAAAATATAAATATTGTGAACATGGGACACACTTTTCTAGTTACTCATATGCATTTGTGGTCTAAAGAGTTATTACAACTGCGCTAAACGTCTTTCATGTATTGTTTGTAAACTTGATGTTGTGATAAGATAAAATTTTCTACTATACATTTTTTGATGTGCCTGTTCCTCGAAGTTGGTTCAGCATAAATATAAATTGCAAAATATTTTCCTTGGCCCAAAATTATATATTTAATAAATTTAATTATACATTATACATCTAAAATATATTCTAAAATACAAGAGTTAATAAATTAAAATTGTGGATGCAATTGGACTGCTAAGACAAACTGCAAGTTACAAGTGAATTTCATTAGGCTATATTTATAAAAGGACGACAACTTTTCAACGACAACGTTCATGTTCAAGAAAACATCAAGTGGAACTTTAATTGAATGATGTAATTAGCTAAGGTGGTTTACATTTAATTGTTATACTGACTCCAAGCAGTTCCTTTCTCTCACATAATAAGATTATGTGGTACTGAAAGCATGGGCCAATTATTGTCATCTATTTATAAAAAAATATTTGTTATTTATACTACCACCGTTAACATAAAACATACAAAACTAAAATTTCAATGTTCTAGCTGTAAGTGTTTTATAATGTTATATTTTGTTAAATTTTAACAATAAAAGACAAATTAACAAACTTTCATAAAAGCCCTTGGTGACCTCTGGAAAAGTTGTTGTGCACTAAAGCATCTTTGTTTTCCACATAGAGAGTTGAAAACTAACAATGCTTGTTTTGGTAATTCATCTTCAAAGCCTAACCATTTTGTGGTTTAGATGGTATAAAATAATTGGTAATATACAGGTTGTGTTTTGTGGATTCTTAAATGCATGTAAGATTTTTAGATTTGATCTTGTAATTCTATGAAATAATTTACATCTTGGAACAGTTATGGTTCAGAGACAACCTAACAAATTTTATTCATGTATTTCAGTTTTCTATTCTGATAACAAAACTGCATTTGTATGCAACAACTGTTACAAAGGCAGCAACCTTTATTTTCCAAACCGTTTACTTTCCCATATTCTCGTTGAAGTGATGAGTAAGAATAGTGTTTTGTAGGGCCCCTGTTATTTTGTATATCAACATAGTTATAGACAATCATATCAAAATTGGCAAAGCAGAATAAATAAATAAAAAAACTAATAGTCAAATGATCTCCTTTCTCACAAAATTTTGATGGAAAAGTTATTTACATTGCTCGATTAAAAATTTCATATTTATGTTGTGATATTATAATTCACATTCAACAAAACTAAGTACAGGGTGCTAAAATGGCGTGTTTACATAGGGTTGACAGTCGCTTTTGCAAGACTACTTTGATTTGTCGAAGGAGGCGCAGTCAATTCATTATTTACAAATTGAGTGCCACAGTTTCGCCAAGCAAATTGGTCTGATGAAGGTGGTGCAATTGAAGTTCTGTTCACACCGAAATAACCAAGTCATTACAAAAACAAGTTTACACACAGAGACCACAAATCATTTGACGTTCAATAAACTGCTCCAGTACGTAAATTCTTCAGCTTCCGACATGTGCAATGTGTGAGACATGACTGCCCATACGTCGATACTTGGTGATGTTGACCATTCCTTGCAGAAGGCGAGCAACAGTCTGTACACCTAGTCGGCTCGATCGACTTAGGGAGTAAATTATGGTCATAAAATTACTGTGTTTACACTGGGTAGGTTGCTATCTTCATCAGGCAAGCAAAGACGACCTATGGACCTATTGCAAATGCGCCACAAGGGACAATCTGTCTAAGTATTGCCAACTGAGGTTAAAATGAAAAGGTGAAAGGATAAAGATTACAAATATAAGTTGAGAGAATCAAACATTGTAAAAGAAATAAAATTGCCTATATCAAATCTGAAATTCTAGGTATATTTTTGATATTATATACAAAATGGCTAGTATACCAGTAAAACATTGGAAAGAAATGAAATAAAAACCTTAAAATTAAAAACAAACCTATATTAAATTTTAAACATAAAATTGGTATTTAACATTGCAGTTAATATTATAACTCCATTTTTACCATATTTTCTGTTGTTTTATTCACTTCTTCCTTCGTTACATTTTGTTTTAGCTTCCTCTGAGATGGTTTTAATTCAGTTTTTGGGCTGGAAGTATCAAGTTTCGGATTCTTGTTTATTTCCACGAATTCTTTGTCTATGTCTTGAACTTTTTGCTTTATCTGTAAGACAAAGAAATCTACTATATATTCTAGTAGCAGTAGAGCTCCTTGTGAAAGAGCTCGTCCAGGGAAGTACTGCCACCTTACCTATTTCTGCCGCCAAGCAGTAATGGTCACATTACTGTGTTCCGGTTGTGAAGGGTAAGGGTGCTGGTGAAATTACAGGCACATGAGACTTGTCAACTTATGTCTCAGGGTGACGGGCGCAGTGGCAGTGCCCCCAAGATCTTTGTAATTTAAAGCTCTTGGTGGCACTGCAACTGTTATGGGCAGGCGTGTAGCTTACCATCAGGCACACGACTTGTTCGTCCCGTTACTTAATGTCATAAAAAAAAAAAAAAAATCTACATTAAAAATTTTAAAAACACTAGTGAATAATTGCTTTAGTTTCTTGTCAAGTTTTCAATAAATATTGACAAGTTAAACTCACATTTTTCAAACCCAAATTGACGGCTTTTGCTTTAGTTTTCTTTAAACTTTTAGCTCCAGCAACTTTGAATACATTTGCTTTGGCTCCCTTTTTATTATTTTTACCCATTTTGTATAACTTCGTCCATACAAATTGAAATTTGCACTTAAAATTCACAAACACGTGCAAAAATTCATTTTGGCAATGAGATAGGTATACAAGTCACTGATTTGATGATTGAGCAGCCCTAAAATAAAATGTTTTTCTTTTATACTTTTTAGAGTTGCCAGGTTGCACTAGTTGATTAGATTCGACTCGGAGTTTACTCACGTTGGCGTTGTAATTAAAGAATTGTTTTTGCATTCCAAATATTATTTTATATGATAAACGTAGATTTATAACATGAGTATTGTCACGACAGTTTTATGCCTACATGAATATTTATAACAAAATTGACTGAATTTAATCAAATTGAATCATTTTTAGCATTCTCAACTCAACTCTATAAACGTCATTCATTTGACTTTCAGAACAGATCAGCTGAGG